ACCTGTCCAGGTCGCCTCTGTCACCTTAAGGCTGGTATAACCTCCCCCAGCCTGTGACCCAGAATTGGATAAGTGAAAGAGAAACACATGGATGGAAAGTAATTATTAGACAATGTATTGTATTCTATTAACTATATTTCTACTAATGAGTCTTTACTTCCTGTTTGTCTATTTTCTATTTATTTTATAAAAATATTTCAGACCAAAAAGAGTTAACAGTCAAAGGAGGAGCAGATGCCACTCTGGAGTGTTCTGGTCCCCCAAATGCTACTTCATTAATTTTGAGGTGGGAAAAGCCTGACCTGCAGTCAGAGGATTATGTCATCATCTTCACAGATGGTCGGTTTATAGAAAACATCCAGCATAAACTCTTTAAAGGTAGAGTGGAGATGAAAGATCCAAAATGGAAGGAGACTGGAGACTTTTCTGTGATTCTCAAACATGTCACCACAAACGACGATGGAACATATGAATGTAAAGCTGGATATGATGGACAGAAACCACAGTCTCTAAACAACGTCACTTTGAAGGTTGAAAACTCAGGTGAGTTTAATTTCAGCTTCTTCTTGGTTATGGATGTGACTCCATAACACAGGTATTATATTATACTGTATTGTATAATAGTCTGTACACTGTGTTTGCTAAACCGATTAAATTAAAATGAATTCAAAACCTGTTGAATGAATCAACAGTTCATAGAATCACAAATTGAAAGAAATCCTTCCAGTTGCACAAGTATGTGTTTAAAGTATTTAAATTAAGTTATTTTTCTTTTAATTTCTTGAATAATTATAAATCATTTACATTAAATGTATAAAAAATTGTAACTGTGTGAGTAAATCTGTGAACTAGCAGGGGGACAGAGAGGGTCACAGGGAGAGACTGTTGAAGTTTTGGAAGTTACTGTACTGGATCACTGTGTATGAGTCTCTGCTTCATCATCAGAGCAAAACGAGTTTTAGAGTCAGTGTGTCAGTGTAGAGGAAATGTTGGCGCACAGGTAAAGGTGACAAGTTACATATTAGATCATTTGAAAAACTTTGTTCTCTTTCCAGTTTCTTTTCATTTCACTTTAACTTTGAAGTCACTTTCATGTGGCGGTGACACTCGAGACAAACCTCAGCTCACCTGTGTGAGGAGCTGCTGTACCTGATGAAAGTAAACGTTACATTTAGCAAAAGTCTGTGTTTACCACTAGAATAGATTTTATTTTCTGTGTTAATATAATCTTAGACAAAAAGAGTGTAAGTCAGTACGCACACTGGGAGGGATGAAACAAATATGAAGATTCATGTTTGACAACAGGACCTGACTGTAAATTGAGTCTCATTAACATCAACAAAAAACACAATCAAGTTTACACATGATTCTCATTGGTTATGGGTATTCGTTTTTAAAGTTTTACATGATACAGTTTCAAATGTTTTTACTGAAATCATGATTTTAAAAAATTAGATAATATAGTTGGGAAATATGGAAAGACCTTAATTAAGAATATTTGGAATTAATATTGGAATTGCTTGAAGTTTAGACAGTTGAATCATATACTAGGAATATCCTATACATAATGTAGGTTGAAAATGATATTTTAGTAAGATTTAAAATCTCTACTTTCACCAGGATTTGTTGTAGTAAATGTTACTTTGCAGTATCCTGGTGATGAAAGTATTGCCCTGTTATATTGTACATTTTTATACATAAAGAAAAAAAAAATCAGCTGGAAACTTTTCCTGGAATTTCAAGCAAGAAGAAGTGTTTTTGTTAATCATAATTGTATCATCTGGAAAGAAATATCCAAATTTGTAGAAATATTAAGAAACCAAAATCTTAAATCACCAAAACTTTGACTCTTTGCATCTCTCACTGGGTGCTGTTTGTATTCTATCACGTCCCACTAGTTCATCTTGCTAACATCAGATGGTCACACATTGTCTCTCCTCACAAACTGCATTAGCAAATGTTGCTGTAATGATTTTATACGTGAGAGGACCCAAATTCTTCACAGCCATGAACCATAATACATTTCTTAACATATGTTTTATTTTTGACACTGGCAGAGTTCAGTTTAGATGAGCACTGTTTAAAACACAATTTAAATGAGACCTCACAGCACTACTGTCAGGGTTCTAGTTGTATCCTCTGTAACACTTTGTAGGACTTGCTTATAAAAATGTTTTAGTGCAGACTATGTTGATGTATATTCTAATACATCTAAACATGAGACAAATGTTTGCATTTATGATAGTTTTATACAAGAATAATAATTATATTTTTGTATGGCTGAGGATCATGTTCTTGTCTGTACGTTAGAAATTACATTAGACTGTTAAACAAACACCAGTCAACAAATCTCCATATTAAACATCCTGGACATGACGGTAAAGTAGAAACACATTTGTGTTACTTTTCTTTTCATAGAGTAAATGAAAATATTTGAACCAGTTTAATCTGTCTACAAGCAAAGACAAAAAGTTCTTTAAACTCAGGTTTCAGGTCTTTAAAGCAGAATTGAGTTCACAATTTAACATAAAGGATGTGAATAAACCAGCAGTAAAATATTTACTACTTATTAACTCACACACAGTTTTTTTTTTTCTCGCAGCATCATCTTTTGTTTGATACAAACATTGTAAAGTTCAGTTTAATTCAGTTTTATTTATATAGCATCAAGTCACAACAACAGTAACCTCAAGGTGCTTAAAGTGAACATGTTATCTAAATTTTTTGATTAAAGTTGAAATTTTCAAGAATTAAGTTAAATATTAGAGCAGCAGGGCGGTGCAGTGATCAGCACTGTTGCCTCACAGCAAGTTCAGGCCGGGGTCTTTCCCTGTTTATATGTTCTTGTGTTTCCGTGGGCTCTCTCCAGCTTCCTGTCACAGTCCAAAGACACTGTGGCAGGAAGTTAGTGGGGTTAGGTTAGTTGATGATTCTAAATTGCCCGTAGGTGTGAATTATTGTCTGTCTCTCTGTGTTAGCTCTATGACAGACTGGCAACCTGTCCAGGTCACCTCTGTCACCTTAAGGCTGGTATAACCTCCCCCAGCCTGTGACCCAGAATTGGATGAGTGAAAGAGAAACACATGGATGGAAAGTAATTATTAGACAATGTATTGTTTTCTATTAACTGTAGTTCTACTAATGAGTCTTTACTTCCTGTTTGTCTATTTTCTATTTACTTTATTAAGATGTTTCATACCAAAAAAAGTTAACAGTCAAAGGAGGAGCAGATGCCACTCTGGAGTGTTCTGGTCCCACAGATGCTACTTTAGTAAAGATGAGGTGGGAAAAGTCTGACCTGCAGTCAGAGGATTATGTCATCCTCTTCAGAGATGGTCAGTTTCAAGAAAACTTCCAACATGAACTATTTAAAGGTAGAGTGAAGATGAAAGATCCAAAATGGAAGGAGACTGGAGACTTTTCTGTGATTCTCAAACATGTCACCACGAACGACGATGGAACATATGAATGTGAAGCTGGATATGATGGACAGAAACTACGGTCTCTAAACAACGTCACTTTGAAGGTTGAAAACTCAGGTGAGTTTAATTTCAGCTTCTTCCTGGTTATGGATGTGACAGCATAACACAGGTATTATATTATACTGTATTGTATAATAGTCTGTACACTGTGTTTGCTAAACCGATTAAATTAAAATGAATTCAAAACTTGTTAAATTAATCAACATCTCAAATTTTTGTGCTACTGGTTCATCTTGCTAACATCAGATGGCCACACATTGTCTCTCCTCACGAACTGCATCACAGCAAATGTTGTTGTAATGATTTTATACTTGAGAAATTCTTGACCCAAAGGCATAATTTTAGTGTCTTTTAAACACTTAAATGTAGATTTATAAGATATATGTGTGTGTGTGTGTGTGTGTGTGTGTGTGTGTGTGTGTGTGTGTGTGTTTAATCAGAGGTGAAGCTGCTTCCTGGATGTTGATGTTTGTTTCTAAAGATGTTGTTGATGAGACTTTGTAGAAAGCAGCTGGTCTGAGTGATGTGATCAGAGTGCAGTAGATAATGTCTGACAGCAGTTTGAAGAGGAAATGGATTCTGTTCTGTTCTTCACTCATCACCTACCTGACAGCTGACACCTCACACCTGTTTCTCACCTGCAGGTCAGCCAGGAGGAGACACACAGGATGGATCTGTTGGACTGATAGTTGGTCTTTCAGTTTCTGCTGTGCTTCTTGTTGCTGCTATTGTTGGTTTTGTGATCTACAGAAAACATGAGAAGCAGAAAAGGGATTCATACCAGCCTCCTTCTGAAATGCAACATGTCTGAAATATCTCAGCGCTTTTCCAAATGAGCTCTACTCTTGCTGCTGTTGCAGGTTTTCAAGCTCAAAATGCAGAGTAACAGATGTTCTCAGGACAGATACTGTAATCAATAAAAAATTAAACTATGCATGATGGAGTTAAAAGTTAAAAATGCAATTTTGTGGCTGGGTAAATGTTGGTGTTTTTTTTGTTTGTTTTATTGTTTGTTTGTTTTTTACAAAGAGTTGTTCTTTTTTTTCCACCAACCCTTCTCTGCGGTGAAGAACAACTCTTTCACAGGCTTCATTTTTTAAAATAATTGTCAACCTAAATCTGTTTTTGTTGTCATTTTACAAAAAAAAAATTATTTTTTAAATAACATCTATTAATTCATAAACAGTGAGAATGACTATTGTCTTAATTTCTATCCTACAATACAATTTTACAACTATATGTATTTGAAATCTTGTCTGGGTATATTTTTGTGTTAGAGACTTTTCACTAACACATTTACATGTATCACTCAGCTCCTGTACTAATATGAATGTTTTATTTCTCTCACTGTATTTAATTGTAAACAAAATCTGTATATGTGTTGTGAATACACTTATTACACTGGCTTTTGTTTTGTGCGTGTGTGAATAAAAGTTTAACATGTATTAGTTTTCTTTTATTTCTTTTCTTAGTCTAAAAACAAAAGTAGTCTTAGTCATGAAAAGAATGAGCAGTCAGGAGAGAAAAAGAAACCTCTCACCTGTTGAGCCAGTTGATGCAGCTTTAATCTGATCTGGAATCAGTTCAAAGAAAATAAAACACTGATGTAGATGTGGGAAGTAACTGACTGAGACAGGTTTAACAGAAAAACCTGAAAACACTGTAGCTGAGTTAAGTGAAACCTGTCTGAACCTGTCCCTGTAAAACAGAGAAGTCTAAAGCCTGCACCATTGTTTCAATCAGAACAGAGCTCTGCATTATAGCAAAAGCCAAAATGATCCACTTGGAAAAATAAATTAGTTGGCCTTCTTTTTTTTTTTTACCTTCAGACAAGAATTCATATTGATTTTATTCTGAAAAAAAGCCCTTTGACTAACCAATTTTTGTGAAAACGTCTTTCTGTTTAGAGCCAGGGACTTTTTAGGGCCCTTCAGCAGTACTGGGAAGATGCATACACATACATACACAAAGCTGTGTAAACCAACTATAAATAAACAATCTAAACTTATATACATTGAATACAGAAATGAATGAAGCGGAATGAATACTACAGAATGACAGTGCTAAATCATAACCGAGCCCAGTGACTGGTTCTTCAGAGATGGCTG